CATTATCTGGTTTGTCTGGGCTGACATCGCCCCGCCCGAGTAGCATCTCCACCACCCCCTTGTACCCCGACGAAGCAGCCCAACTTAGTGGTGTTCGGCCGTATTCATCTGGTTTGTCTGGGATGACATCGCCCCGTCCGAGTAATATCTTCACTACCCCCTCGTGCCCCGACAAAGCAGCCCAACTGAGTGGTGTTTTGCCCCAACAGTCTTGTTGGTTGATATCATAACACTGCACCTCTACCAAACCAGCTACAAGCTCAGCAATCCCGAAGAAGGATGCGTAGTGTAAACCACTGAACTGCAAGTGTCCACCGAAATCAACGATGTAAAAATACTCTGCCCGTGCTTTCAGGAGAATTTTAGTGGATATATGGCCACTGTAATCGTCAAACAGCTTCAGTGCAAGAGATTTCGCGCAATCTGAGAGGTCCCTCTTTGCGTGGATTCCCCAGTATCGAGAAGAATATTCCAGAAAAGGTGTGTCCTCAAGATCGGGAAAGGGTCCGGTCGAAAGGGCACTGACCTGCTGGGAATTTAAATAACTCAGGCAGGTTTCCGCCATTGTCGCGTGAGCTACGCCAAAAAGCTCGGGGTGAGCACGGAGGTACTCTTGCAGTGTAAAGTGGATCAATCGAGCAGTAGAAGCCTCCTTGTCCACGACAACAAGGCCCTGACAACAGGCTAGCAATGTCCCTATTGAAGGAACATTGTCGCCATCAAGATTCGGGGACCCTATTTCGACAGCTAGGGCGTGACACAATTCACTGGCCCTCAAGGGCCGCTCAGAGTGAGAAATCCACATTAAGACCGCCATCCCGAGCCTCGCTTTCTCCCCACCCTGTCCCTTTATCCGATCCAGTATTGCACCATAAGCACCTCCCAACCCCAGGCCATCCGTCATTGAGTCGAGCTTTTGCCGCCTACGACGGATTGTGGTTTCTTGAAGGATGGCATCGATATTCAGCGATACGAGCAGGAATCTAGATATAAATTTGTCAGCAGGTACCTTGATGTAGCTTCCCCTATGCCGCCCCTCCCACGTACATTTCAGAAATATTGTCTGGAATCCTCTTCAGGATGTCCGCTTCCAGACTACTGTCCATCGCATCCGGGGTTGTGTCCTCATCCAGCCTAGTACGAAGATAGCTAACGATATCATCCCTTCGTGGAGTAATTAATACACTTGTTACCCTTCCAGAGAGACGCTTCCCGATCTCAGCTTCAATGTGGGGCCTCCCTGTCACGAATATTCGAGTGCCTGGCGACACTTTGAGGATTTGGTTTAGCGAATCAAGAAGCTTGACCCGATATCCCGCCACGCATTCATCAAGAGCATCGATACATATGAATGTGCGCCTTTCACAAGTGATGGTCTGCAGCATCTTCACAATATCGGAAAGACGTAGCGCCCGTCCACCAATGACCTTTTTCTGGTCTTCGTAGGCTCGCAAAATCTCCCCTGGAACCACCTCTAGCCCACTCACAAGCTGTTTAAGCAGGGCGCCCAGCATACCAGTCGACGGCTGCTCCTTTTGGACCGCAAAATCAAAGTATAAACACGCAACAGCGACATTTTGTCCCCTGGCCCAATCACACAGGCTATCTATCACCAATGAACTAACATCGCGGCTCGTCAGCGCCCACCCTTCTTCCGTTTTCTTGGTTTGGCCTTGTTACCTAATATACGTCTTGCCCGCGCCCGGGGATCCATAGCAAAACAAAACTGCGTTATCGGACTCGCCCGCACCACCACCCGCGTACCAACTCCCAAATTCCTCAGTTCGCAAGAGCCATTCCCCTACATCTCCAACTCGGCGGTCCTGTATATCCTGGTGTCGTAGCCTGGGCTCAAGTGGGGATAGCCAGACTAGGATATTAGATCGGTCATCGGTAACGGTGAAGTTATTCGACACGGTAACAGTGTTGAAAGAGTTGTTATTATTACTGAAAGATTGTGACATTTCGTATTTTTTTTTTGCTTGAGATATTGTGGATGATGGATGATGGAGTCGGCGGAGGACCAGAGTTCCTAGTGGGCGAGGGAAAGCGGGGTATTTGTGCAACCTCATGGATGCCTCATCACATCCCCAAAGCTCGCCCAGATTTCTTTCTCAACCACACCACTACCGGTGCCTCCAGACGAGGTTGGAGGAAACAAAACACCTCTTTTAGAACTACCCTGCGGTAAAGTTCAGCACAAATCCCACACTACGATGAACGAACACCCCACTAGTAAAGCCCCCTCGGTAGAACCGGCCACCTTGATATCCCAATGCATAAAAGTACTTCAACTCCCACCGAACAATCCGTCAAAGAACCCACATACCACCCAATAGAGGGGTTTAGCCGAACCGTGCTGTCAGGATTCCGTGCTAAATTCGAGAGTTAGTTTGCAAGAAAATGTGATGGTTGATTGTGTGGGTTTAGCCAACCTGTGCTAAAAATTAATCCTATCATAATTATGTAACTGAGGCGGTGGCAGGTGCATTGGGGAGGTGGCTCTAGGTTGTGATGCTTTTGTTGTGGCGTATTTCTTGGAACTTACATGTGCTAACTTTTGCTGGCTATTTGTTTATAGTTATATGCGGATTTAAACACTGTGCTAATTAGCACCGGATATCAAATCGTGTTCTGCCAATGAAAACATCAACACAAGAACTAGCGTTGTTGCTACAGTGAATAGTCCCGTTGCCTCTAGCAACACCACTGTTCTGATTTATCACGGTTCGGCTAAACCCCTCTAATCATCAGTGCATAGTCCGCCCTGATACCGGCACAGACCGTAAAGCTCCCGTAGCCCCGTACCTTGCCAGGGTGCCGAAGATAGGAAACGAGTTTCCCGGCATTCCCCGAGACCGGTACAGTACCACAGCACTCGAGCACTCGGACATACCCGCGCAAAGCTGTGCGATGTCACGGTCTGCCGCTACATTTATCACAACCCTCGAGCCTCCCATCTTTCTATCATACACCGCTAAACCACGAGAAAGCGAACCACCAACCATACCCACCACAAACGCGTCAGCCATTAACTCATCAACAAAACAACCACCACCCGACCACCCCGAAAGCATCCCCAAACCTTAACCACCCACCTTGCCCAAGAACCGCCAAAAGTCCCACAGATATTTCAGGAATACGATACGAAGGCGGCGCAATCGTTTGTGCGAACAAAAAAAGTAGTGGTAAAAATAAATAAATAAAAGGAGTCCCTGCCCCGCTCCAGCATGTACCAATCATCACGACTTTCTCAGACCCCACTCCCCCTTTTACAGACAATCACAATCCATCACTCGCCGAGGGCCAAGGTCCCAAGCTACCGTAACTTAGATACTAAGCGGTAGATTCGTAGCGTTAGGGAAATACGGTAGGCAAAACATACCGTACCGTGCCACACGATACCCATTCAAAACACAAAGCGCAGGAAAAGGCAAAGAAAAGGAGAATCCCAATTCACTCCCTCCCATCGAATACCGTACACAATCCGTTACGGTACTGTAAATCCCAGCACCGCGCTATCAACACGAAGTACTTATAAACCCCCCTAGAATCCTTCCAAACCCCACACCGTGCAAAAACATCCCATAATGTCTCGCACAATCCGGTCTTTCTCTCTCTCCCCCTAAACCTCCTCCAATGCACGCGGAGGAAAACGTCCTCCCTTCACAACGTCACCAGTTAGTGACTACGATCCAAATCTACCTACACTTGGAGAATCCGTGATCAACCTCGGCTCAATGACAGATTAGATCCGGCGAAGGATTAGCATGCACGGTGGCGACAATCCGAACACCGTGAGATGATACTTAATTCTTGTCACGAGTTATCACTGACTTCTCCCCCCCGCGTGGGCGCCGGGGCAAGAACCGGAATGGCCACGAGCATCCGCTTCATTCAAAACTACTTGAAAGAGACGGCGCGAGCGCGGTTGGCTACCCGGTATCGAATGGTAGGTGCGAAATAGCGCTTTTCGCTATCCTACCTTGCGGGTTTGCGATTTATGTTGCCGCGTTAGCAGTACGGTACGTGATGTGGTGATGTATAATACATATGAGTAACCATATTGTTCGAAAATTGCTAGGGGTTATAGGTTGGTGAAATGGTGTAATGTGTCATACGCGTTGCGATGCGGGAACTAAGGAGGCAAGTGGGGATGAATGGGAGTTGAAAAGTACCAGTATGATACTGGTATCATACCACTAAACACTACGCTGAAGAGACAGGGGAAAGTCATACCACCCAGAGTCTCAGCCAATTGAAGCTCAATAAAGTCAAGTCAACTGTGAAATAAGGATAGAAAAAGCTTGTGATTATGACCAAATCCCAGTACCTTTCCTACCCTCCAAAAAAAAAAGAAAAGAGAAGAAAAAGAAAAAGAGAAGGAAAGAAAGAAAGAAAAACCCAAAGTAATTTATTCCGACACTCCCTATACACCTTTCCCCACCACCCCCCACACCAAATGTACACGAAAACTATCCAGAACTACCCAGAAGAAGTGGAAGAAGCGGCACCAGCGGAAAACACCCACCCCTCCCCGTCCCCATTCCCAGCTTCGGCGTCCATAACGTCACAATCTCCAATTGGGGAGCCAACGGCACTGGCATAACTACTATCCGCGGTGCTCCGCCCATTCCCACTCCCACTCCCACTCCCAGTAGTGGCGGCCTCGTTGCGCAGCGAAAACCCCACATCTTCGAAACTAGCTTTTGTTGGCAACATCGCGTTTTTACCGGGATGCGAGAGGCCCGGAGGCGCGCCCACCCCTCCGCCGCCGCCGGCAAAGCCGGGTGGCGGCGGTGGCGGCGGCGGTGGCATTTGCGGTGGTGGCGGGGAAATCCCGCCCTGCGCTAACAAACTACTATTCGTGGGGACAGGACTGTGCGCTCCGCTCCCCCGTGAACTTCTTAGACTCCCGTTACTCCCGCCCCAGGCATTCCTCCTCAGGCGCATCAACTGCTCCAGCGTGATCTCCGCACCGCCGTTGTTGCCGCTGCTGATCAGGCTACCAAGGTCTTCGCCCGTGGGCACGGTAGCAGATAACGGGCGACTAGAAGATATTGGGAATACCAGGCTGTTGCGATAGCTACCCTCACTGCGCTCGCTGATCGGTGTTAGGCTAGGTCTTCGTACAATAGGCCTTGACGCGAGTTCTGGTAGTCGGCCAAAGTAGCCTCCAGCGAAAACGCTCTCGTCATCGTCCCCGGTGGGGAGGAGCCCTGGAGCGGCTGACACGGGGTAGAAGCCAAACTCCTGACCGTAGAATTCAGTGTCGTAGGCTAGGGCTTCCGCATTTGCTTCAGCAACCATACTGTCGTCTGCATCTTCAGGTTCGTACTCTTCGTCGTCGATGGAGTAGTACCCGCTCTGTGAACCCCAGTCTGCTGCGTAGTCACTTTCGTACCCGCTGCCGATACCGCTAGCGGCACCGGGGCTGTTTATCTCATTCGCCGCGGCGGCTTCGGCTTCGCGCTGTTGTTGCTTCTGGTATTGGTAGAGCTGCTGGGTGAGTGTTGATAGTGCAAGCGGCAGGCCGGTGTGTCCATCCAGCACAGTCCCGTCTGGAGTGTAGAATTGCGCTTGTTGCTGGGTACACCCCAGACCGCCACCGATGGGGTTAAGGAATGGTGGAAAACTCTTGTTTCCGTAGCCGCTGCCACCGCCGGTACCTGCTGTGCCGTCATTACTGTCGTTTGCCAGGCTGTCGAGGCTACCGTCTTCAACTTGCATGGCGCCACCCGAGGAGACGCCAAGTGTCGAAGGGAAGGATTCACGTTGCTCCTTGTCCACCGGGTCTTCCACCTCCTCCTCCTGGTCAGGGTTGTTCACGGAACCCTGAAAAAGAGGATCATCGAGAATAATCCCATCATCAAAATATAAATCGTCGTCGTCGTCTTCGTAGCCCACCATTCCATCCCCTTGCTCAAGTTCATCAAAATCCGAGTCATCACTCAGATCCAATCCCCGAGGGTTACCCAGTCGCTGAGCCAGCGACTGTTGCTCGGGCTGAACTACTGCGGGCTCCGGATCCATGGCAGGAAGGGCTTGTGACACCCCCATCAAATTCAGGGGTGTTGTCGGAGTATTAATATCGATCGGCGAATCCTTCGACAATGCAATGCCAATCTCATGACTGGGATCAATTCTCAGCGCTAGCGGGACACCCCCCTCATCTTCTGCATAATCCCCATCGCCATACATGGCGCCATTCGGCATCATGAACAACCCCTCATTCGCCCGGGAAAACCCTTCATCATCGTCGCCCACGAAATCCAATTCCAAGCCCAACTCATCACCCTCCCGGTCATCATCATCACCCTCATCATCGTTATACGGATCCTCCGGCTCGTCACCTCTGGTCGACTCGGCGGCGCTGCTCGCCTCAAAGCTGAATCTGGAAGAATTGGTCATCAAGTGATGTGGCAGGGACAGCGGGTGGTCAACAAGAGTAACGCCACGGGGTTTCCCATCGTCAAGGTCCCCTTCATTTGAGGACACCGCCGAAGAGGCCCTACTAATCCCTGTCGTCGAACCAGTAGAGGAAAGCAATATCCCACCCTCAACCACCTTAGGCTTATCCAAATCGCTAATCGGCGGAGGGTTCGTAGCAGGAATCCTAAGTGGCTCCGGTGCTACCCCGGAAGGGATACTCGGTGCAACAGGTGTAGCATCCTCCCCCACCTCCGTGGGCCCCTGCTCCTGCTCAGCCTCCTCATCAAAGTGCTCCCTGAAAACCGGCGTCCTTTGCCTCTCCAGCTCGGCCAACCGCTCGCCAATCCCACCACCCCCCGCATCATCCGCGACTACCTCCACTTTCAACAGCTTGTTGTTCGGATCCATCAACGGACTAACCGGCGGCAACGGCGATATCGACCTCCCATTGACCGGAGGTCGAACAGCCTCATTCTGGCCCCTCTTTGGCGGGCTCGACCAATCGGGATGCCTAGTGCCGTAAATAATACCGGGGTCGAAATCGCCGGGGAGATCCCTCGCACTTTTAGTTTTCGCACCATCGCCGAGCAGGCCACTAGCTTGCGAGGAGCGCCTCCGCATGAGCAAAGACATGGGGTTCAGGAGGGTGAGTTTTGTATTTTTCCGGTACGAGGATGTTATCGTCGTCGAGCAGGGATGCCCGCCGGGACCGCTACCGCTACCGCCGCCGCTCTGATTGGCGGCATTACTACTACCACTATTGCTACCAACATTATGATGAGAACCTGACACGGAGGCGGGAGCAGCGAGGGAGGAAGGCTGGGCTGCCAGAGCGGCGTTTGCAGCCCTAACCTGCTGCGATAAGGTGGACGTCTTCGCGCTTGGCGCAGGCCTTGCCGACAACTGCCTCGAGCTACGCGAGCGTGGACGGGGCGGTGGAGGTGGTAGAGGGACAGAGGGCGTTGCCTTGGTCGTCGTCGTAGTCATAGTCGTTGTCGTTGTAGGCGTCGCCGTCTCCGACACGTGCGATGAACTAGAAGTACCCGGTCGGGACGAACCGGCAGCACCCTCGGCAAGCCATTGCACCGGTGAACCAAGTCCTGGAGACCCACTATTTATCGGAGGGAGAGAATCGAGCGGGGGAACGCTGGGTGGGGAGGTCCGTGGCGGTGGATGTGGTGACGCTAAATTGGTGGAGGAAGTAGGAGGGGACTTTGAGGGAGGAGGCACAGCTGATGCGTTTCCCTGGCTCGAAGCCGAGCGGCGGTGATGACGGAGAATATTAAGTCGAGGCATGACGGGTGAATGGAAAAAAATTGGTAGATGGTGAGGGTGGGGGGGTGGGGGAGGGGAGGGGTTGAAAGAGGTAAAAAATAAATAAAAATAAAATAAGATAAAAGAAATATCGGCGGGGTAGGTGAAAGAGTTAGGTTGAACAGCGAAAAGGCTCAGCAGAGCAACCCAGCTCCCGGGCCTTTCACCGACACTGTATTTCGGTCAAGAGAGGGGGAGAAATGAAGGAAAGTGAGAGGAAAGAAGGGAAGGGAGGAAGAAAGGAAAGACAATGGAGAATCGACAAGGAAGGTGAAGAGGGGAGGAGGAGGAGAAGAAGAAAAGAAAAAAAGAAAGCTCCTATCCAAGATGCGATACCCTGATTCTCCTGGGGCTGAGACGGGCTCGCCTCACCGAGACATACAGCGACAAAAGTCCCAAGCTTCTCGAAGGTATCATAATCTAACTTGACACAGAGTTTACAATGCCCACCACCGAGCAGAGAAGCGTGATAGTATGACACCACAACCGCCGCCGCTGCCGCCGCCAACTCTAATAATCTACCCACTAAGTTATATGGCGGTGGAAGGGGTGCGGAAGGAAAAGGAGGGAAGGGGAGGGAAGGGGAGAAGAAGGAAAGTGCCACTCACAAGCCAGTCACTCTCACCCTTCCTTCCTCGCAGCGACTCAGGTTAAGGCTGCCTGCCGTGGCGGAGGGCGCGTGGGTGGAGGGGCACACGGTACCGGTACCGGCAACTCTACTCGTGGGTCATTCATAATATGATACTAAATTTACATGTCCCATGCGTACCCCTCGTACCGACCCGGGTATTCCACGGAACTGGAATGATCACCCACCCAAGCAGCGGATTCGAAACAGGCAGCGGGGGTGTGTTTCGGGTTGCGGCCAAGCTAGGCTGCATATAATTTACAGGCTCACCTGTACTCTACCCTACGAGCACTGTAACCTATGATACCCCATTTTTCTTTTTTTTCTTTTTCTTCCATCATATCATACCGTGGAGATGGCGCTCGTGGGGAGGAAACCCATACCGGTATTCGTGCAGTACCGACCGATTGATGAGCGGGCTACCGGTGATCCACTTGCGTGCGACCAGTCTTATTTATTCGTCTACCGTACTTGTATATCATGCCCAAATCTATCCAGTCGGGCAAGAAGCTCATGCCCGGAAGGCCGAAAAGTGAAAGTGAGTAAAAAAGCGCAGACCGTAAGACTATTTATGGTTCTCACTCTATCACACGCTACGGCGGTCCACAGCATGCGGGAAGGTGCAGTGCGGTAAGGGTGCGGGCGGTAGTGACCCGTTTGCCAAAGTTTATTCAGCAATCCCAAGTAACTTAAAGGTGCCCTTGTGTCGCGGGGAGATTTGAGTAGACTATTTCAATTAAACACAGTCACGGTACTGTACGAGTTCTGCTCATTGTGCGTTAAACAGGTCACGCATACCAGCAGTGGTGCATACCCATAGTATTATACGAGACTGCAATGTATCGATCGTATCGCACTAATGTACCGTAGTAGCTAATTTACTACTCCAGCTATTCCAAACGAACTCATTTAAACCCCCATCATCCAGCCAGCTCACCCCTCATCTCTCCCCTCTGCACTCCTAAACCGCTCCAAAATTTCCAACTGGACTCTCCACCGTACCAGAAAACCTCTCGGCGATTCCTCATAGTGGAATACCCACTTGTTATGTCGCTATCAGATCAGTGAAACTTTCTATCGACGACTAAGTTCTGATGCTATCTCATCCCCTCTTTTCGTACCCCTCTAATTCCTGTTCAGGAATAGTCCGGTCTGGTCCTTTGGGTCTATCTACGGTACTGTACTCGAGTACCTGTACAAGTAGTTACGTACTAGTACTAGTACAGGTACTATTACCGCTGCCACACATCTTATCAAAAGAGTGCAATCTAACAATTTAATAACCCATCTGTCCAAATATATTTCTTCAATCTCTGCAAAATCCCTCCTTCCCCGGTATAAATGGGGCACTCACTATACAGTGCCGCATTCCCGGCGGGGGAAATGAAATCAATAAAGAAACGACAGGAAAAGCGAGCGAAACCATTATAGCACCCCGACAAACATCTTCACCCCGGTAGGAAATACAAAACGATATCTCCACATCACCAAAGATATGTTTTTCCCAAGACTAGCCCCCCCCTTCTGCAGCACGATACGAGTCCAGAACTGTAACCACACCTATCAAGAAAGTATGATAAGCCAGTTTTAAGTTACGCTAATCTCGGTACCGGAAGCGTCAGGCGAGAAGTCCACGCCGAGCATGCAGAAGCAAAGCACAGCACAGACCAAAGGGATATTTAGGCTTCTCACCTCCCTCCCATAACCGGCACGGGAGCGCGGTGGCCGGCTCACCAAAGTTTACCCAGAAACACCAACTCAGGATGGGGGGACATTGTAAAATTATTATTTATTTCTTAATTACTTTGCGAGGGGAATTGGTACAGTACGGTACTACGATTGAGCAGGGTACCGGTGGTGTGGGCTGCTGCATCTGCGTGGCGAGGTGGGTGATCTTGCATTACCGGTAATTGTTGTGTGTGCTGGTACTGTGCGGTACACGTAAATTATAGCTAATGCGAGAAGGGGAATAAACGGAGGGAGGGATGAAGGGATGAAAATGAGGGGGAAATAAAAAAGGTTAAATGAATGGTGGCAAGTATGGCCAGTTGCTAACCAGCATTGTACGAGCACTATACTGCACTCACACAAATCACATATTACAGCTATTATAATTCCACGTACAAAAACAGTAGAAGGGGGGCGGGGTGACATCTTAGCCCAGCACAGAAACAACAAATCACCAAATATCGCACACTTTAGTTAGTGAAGGGAAAGATCCGAAAAGAAGGCCCCTAGCGCCGAAATTTACTCCAAGGGGGCTCAATATTCCTCTTCACAGCAAGGCTCCCACCCACCCCCTCTTTGTCAGCAAGCATGAACCTGGAGTCTCTCCCCCTCCTCCTCCCCTCCACCGCATCCGCACCTCCAGCACTGTCCCAAACATCCAACCTGTCCACGCTAGCGAGTACCTCATCCACCATCTTGATCACTTGCCCAGTAATCGTGCACTCCCCGTGCCCCGCGGCAAAATCCACGAAGCAGCGGAGGCCCTTCATCATCACGGCTAGCTCCTCGACCGAGATCCCTCTATACGGCATTGAGGGCGTGGGGAATATTCCGATGTCGACCTCGTGCCGGATCAGCGAGCCGAGTATCGCCACGTCACATGTGAGGACCTGGGAGCTGGGAGTACTGAAGAGGCCTGACGATTTAAAGGTTTTGCATTTTACCGTAGGGCTTTGATACAGGTCTCTGAAGTGCGCTGTTACTGAGAGGAGAGATTGGATGATTACCATTCGACTTCCGTACAGTAGTTCTAGTATCGCGTTAAATTCAATTATAATCGTAGGAATCAAGTTAGGGTGGGATGTATATCATACCAACAATTTGCACCGGAAGCGCATCGCAAGCCCACCCATTCTCCCCCTTCTCCTCTCCCTCTCCCTCTCCTTTTCCCCCACCACCCTCTCCCTCTCCCTTTCCCCCACCACCCTCTCCCTCTCCCTTTCCCCCACCACCCTCTCCCTCTCCCCCACCACCCTCATCGCCCTCACCGTCCTCATCCCCACTCTCACAATACTCATCATACTCCTCTCCCCGACTCTGAATAACCGCCTTCCGACACCCCTCCCTAAACCCCTCCATGTCGCCAAACACGTACATAACAAACAGTCCTCTCCCCCCATCGCCCGCTCCCCTCTTCAGCCAAACCTCCTTCCACGGCCCCAGCGCCCGCGTGAGATCATATTTATCCGCCACGAGCGCAATATTGTAGAGGACATCATGGCTATAGTCGTCGCTCACACAGTCATGTCGGAAGTGCAGCACGTCGAATATAATCCCGAGAGCTTGTGGGGAGTCATCCGGGAATTCGATTTCCGTCAATTTCGTGGCGGAGGCGAGAGCGGCACCTTCACGGAAGCGCGGCGAAAACATTGAGCGGAAGACGGGGGACGCGGTGGATAGAACCTTTGAGGATATCTGGAGTTTGGTTTTAGCGGTGGGGAGGAGGACAAGGAGGTCGCCGTAGGGATCTATTATTTGTGTTGTTGCTGAATCCATTGTGAATTGTACTGATGGTGTAGTCGAGGTAGAGGTAAATAGAGGTAGGAGTCGAGGTTGAGAAGGGAATAACCAACATAGACTACAGTACGAGTACAAGGCTACAGTACCGTACCGGTACTTGCACTGTACCGCCAGCTATATATAGTAGCTAAGCTAAGCTAAGGTACCCCGCTATCCGACGAAATCACCACAAACACGGAACTCACGCCATAATTATTATGATATAGTGCAACACAGCACGAGTACCATACTAATACTCAAAACAAGAAAACTCCAAAAATACGGTGGTATACTTTTCCTGGTACAGTATCATACTGGACTTGTACCATACTGTACTGTAACCGGCACCGTACCGCAAGCGACCTGCTGGGGGTGGGGTCGCGCGTTTGGGAAGTACGGTGGTTTTCTTTAGCTCTCCCGAGTGAGGATGTGTGAGTGGGCGCATTCGCCAAGGTGGTTAAATTGTCTCGACGTTTGCACTGGGTTAATGTGGTGCTATTTCCGGGCCCAAGCAGCTCATGTTCCTCTCGTGTTCAATATCCTGGCTTCGAGGACTCCATGAATTGAGCGCCGTAAAACTGACAAGCCAAGCTTCCCTGAAACATGCAGAGACGGTGAAAGCAGAGGTATAAGTTAAGATACATTAAATCCGAGTCAAAATCCGCAAACTATGCGCCTTGCATCCTTCTGAAAGCAATTCATACTCCGTGATATCACTCTGGTACTCCCTAAATCACTCCCCATCACCCAGCAATCCTCTGCGCGGCAACCTTGTCAATCTCAATCCTCTTGTTAGCACTGTGACCGAGCATCAGCGTCAATGGCGAAACAACACAGGCGACCACAGCCTCGAATACCAGGCTCTTCCACATCTTGTCATTATCCTCCTTATCCTTCAACGCATCCATGATGATCAGGAATACCGCACCGAGAATCTGACCGCCAACCCAAAGTGTGACGTTGGTCAATTCCGGTGGTGCAGGGTGGGTTTGCTCAACAGCCCATTCTAGCACCAAGGGTAATAGTGAGAAACTGGCGGCGCCGAGGAGAGCGCTTATTGCGAAGGGTGCCGCTAGCGTGTGCGTTCGCGGGGCGAATATCAGAGCAACATAGCTTAGGGCAATAATCGGGACGAAAATCCTTATTGCCGTGAGGAAACTATGGGTTCTGTCGTTTATCGGCGAGACAATGGCCGAGGTAACTAATCCCGCGACGATAAGTATCGCACCAGTGATACCGGCTTCGTCAGCGGTGTAGCCATAGGGAAGCATGATCTACGCCAGTCAGTTTCTTAACAATGCATGGAGAGCACCGGGGGTGTCGGACCTGATTCAGCAGCGAGGACATTGCATTAAAAAACCCCAGATACACCGAAAACTATCCGCCCTATTAGCTCCGACCCTGACCACCATTTCATGCCCAACTCACCATGACAAAGACCAACAAAAACCCTCTATTCCTAAACACTACCCCCAGACTCTCCTGAAACCCCAGCTTTTCCCCAACGGCACTAGCACATGGCGGCGTCGGCGGCCGACTCTTGACAAACCACCACGGCAACGAGGCAACCGTGGCAATGATCGCGACCCAAAACGTCATATCTGGAATCTTCTCCGGGCTGGTGGCAAGCATGGGGTTAATCAACTGCCCGAGCGCGGCGCCAAATGGATTGGCAAAGCTAGTGAGCGCAGTAGCAGATATCCGTCCACGGGAAGTGAACCAGAGATCACTATAGTGCGTCGCGGCAGACAGGACGAACGGCTGTGCGAAGCCGATAAGAATCTGACCAAACATCACGCCGCCGAAGATCTTTCGTTGCGTGCAGCTGTAACGAATCCAGTTTCCCACCAGGACCAGGAATGAGGAGGCCATTAAAGCGGGTTTCACCCCGTGGCGGTTGAGGGTGTATAAGACTGCTCTGCAAGAACCAAGTTAGAATATCATGAAGACTGAATGAAGGAAAAAAACGGCGGGAGGGACATACGGTGCCGCGACCACTACACCAAATTGAACATCCCATGTCAGCTTTCCACACCCCATCCCATACCACAAAGGGCCACACCGCAAGACCACACAAACCATAAGTAAAGAATATAACGGTAGACAGCCAATTCACTGGACTCTGAGAGTCAAGCCCAAACCATATCTGCGTACTATCACTGACAGGCGCATACGTGAGCCACTATGATCCCCAATCAGCAAACCCATCTCCCTTCCAAACCAGCATATGACAAAACAAAGACAAACCAACCCCCCAGGAGATCACAATATTCATCAACATTAACCCAGCAAGTCCGAACCACCGCTCTTTGTAAACCCTATATACCACTATCCCATCATCGGGCATTATCCTCTGTTGCTCTTCTTCTCCCCCTCCTTCCTCTTCCTCTGACACGGGTGCAGCTCCACCATTTCTACTACTGCCATGGCGGGTGTTTCGCGAGGGTAGTGACTTCAACTCCATCACTTGTCGCGTGCGCTGGGTCCGAACCGTAGGAGCGTAATGGAATGTAACGGGGCAAGTCAAGAGGAAACAAAAGAGGTGATTCACAGCCTACGTTACTTCCTCCACGCGGGAGTTGGTGGTCGACTCGACTCGCCGCGATGTCCAGTCCTGTGGGGTGTAGAGTACCCGAGCACTGCTGGGTGAAACGGTGGCAGGAGAAGAAAGGGGGAGGTGGACCGGCCAGGGATGGGATATCAGTCAAGGATTAAGATAGTACCGGTAAGCGGAGCAAAAATAGAAGGGGACACCGAAGGATACACCAAAAGTCCTGAGACACACAATAAATTGGGTAGGGCTCTCCGTTTCCCCCCCCGTTCCCCAAGTGACAGGTCGCTTAGGCTCCAGCACCGTCGTCCCAGAACCAAGGATCGCAAACCCATCCCACCCAGCTATCCAGGCTTTTAACTGTGATCGCCGACAACTCTATTTTGAATAATAATCATGAATCATCACGCGGTGAACTATCCAGCAGAGAAACGAATATGGTAAATACTCTTCCGACGAGTCGAAGCGCCGTTAGGAACGATACCGTGTGTGCCACAAAGAGATCTTTTGCCAGACTCAGCTAAACTTGTCATCCCGAGTCAGCATACGGATATCGCAACCAATGGTTGCAGTGTCTGGAGTGTATGTACCCTTGGCGCCGAGACCAGCGCCAAAGCACACCAGGATGTCCGGACACTTTATGCCGGGGACTCAAGAGATATGCAGCTTCCTCATATGCGGTAAGTCTATGCTGTTGCGAGCCACACTCCCACGAAAAAAAACGATTGATCTTTTATGAGACGGGGGATCTCCATGCTTCACCGTCCCATGGGATACCTGCTAAACGTTGTGCAAACCGCTGCGTCAGCGCGAGGAGTTTTGGGATCCAGATACAGTACGGTACCAGGTACAAATGCTCGAGTGCATATCCCCTGGTCCTTGAAACCAGGAAAGTACCCTGCTGCCCCTGTCATGCATTGCTCGAGACATACGGCAGAGTGCCTCGGGCTACCATACCGTACTGCTGTAGTTCTCACGCGTTCTGGGCATACCGGCACTTGTAATCGCGAGCGCATCCTGCTATATTGCAAAGCCCTGGAACTGTAGTACCGGTTGTGTTTGGCTAACTGGAAAATCTGAGTGTACCTAGGGTTAGGGTTTGATCTTTGCCTATGGAAAGTCTAGCAACACGGTACCGGTGTGGAAGTGTCTCGGTTGTCTTCCGGATTTTGGATGGTGTGATTGACCGAGCTGACACCTGTGCAATTGTGGTAACCGTACAATGTAATATTCGATCGGATAAGAGTGTAGACTTATGCTGATAAAGTTGACAGTAAAACACAGTGAGAAAGCAAGCGAAAGGAGTGGGGAAAACGACACCCAGAAACAACAGTAAAGAAGGTGGTGGTGTTGGTTGTACAGGATGGGTTCTTGCTGTCTTGTTCCTCCGCTCTCTCTGAGGAAGGCAAGGCCATGCCTCCAGGTGAAAAACAGCCACCTGCTAAGCCTCATCCCAAACAGAAAATTCTATGGGCAAAAACCCAGCAAACATGACCAGAAAACCCCTAAAACCTTCCTCGCACCACACCGGTACTCGTGCCAAGGTTGTGACTAAGCGTCACAACCCCTTGTTGCTCGCTGCCTCGCAACCTGGGCACTCCTCCTGAGTACCTGACAGCTCAACGTAACTTTGTGGCTCAGCGTAACTTTGTGGCTCAGTGTAACTTTGTGGCTTAACATAATTTTGTGATAATTATAGTACAATTATAATGCTTCAATATATGATAGCTACACCATATTTTCATCAATACCATCTCCTCAAACTCAGGCTACCAACCATCATGCCTCCAAAACCAGCCTTTGTCTTCCCCAGCCAAAGGGTTGAGCCATATGACGACATTGAAGTTTAGATCCAAGCTGCTCTTGACTCACTTCATGAAGCATAAGAGGAATATTCAAACATTGCCGAAGTTGCTCGTACCTTTGAGGTTCCAGCATCTTAACTCTGCCATTGCTGGCAAGGCCTTCCCTCCCACAAAGATCATGCACTGACAAACCAAAAACTTTCGGATGACCAAGAAATGGCTGTTTGCCAATATCTTGATTGACTGTATACCATCAGAACAAGTACTCATATACAAATAGTTACTAGTTGTGCAAACAGTATTCTTAACTTGAAGAATGTACATACAGGTCCTCTGGTACCACCTATTATTAGTGACCACTGGGCACCAAGATTTCTTACTCCACACCCAGAACGCTTCATTTGCAAGCAATGAACAATTGATATTGATCGTAAGCATGCTTATCAACTAGAAGATATTCATATCTGGCTGGAGAAATACCGGAATGTTCGTTAGAGGTACAACATTCAAGACTGCAATATATACAAATTTAATGAAACTGGATTTAGGATCGGGATCGGAAGAGACCAGTGGATTATTACACGAGATCCCAACCATCAGGCCTACCTGGGCAGCTCAACGAATTGAGAACATGTTTCTGTGTGTGAGACGATTAGTAGAGATAGTCATGTTTTACCTTTATTGATTATTGTACAAGGCATAATTCCTCAAGAGCCTTGGTACACAACTACATCAATGCCGAATGATTACATGGTGGGCACTTCAGAGACAGGCTACAGTAATGATGGATTATGTATGGAGTAGCAAGCTCACTTTCACTGGTTCTCCTCAAAGTAGCAAGCTGGTACCTATCGACTCCTACTTCTGGACAGTTATAGATCATATTGTACGAAACAGTTTATTGAGTACTGTGATATCTACAAAATTGTTGTTTTTTGCCTTCCTTCACACTCAAGCCACCTTCTTCAACATTTAGATGTGGTTGTATTCCAACCATATAAGCACTACCATGCTGAAGCAGTTGAGGCTACCACTCAGTCTGGATCTGGGAACTTCAATAAGGTGGAGTTTTTAGATAAAATTGATTCTATCCATTTGCAAACCTTTAAGGAATCAACTATTAAGTCTGGATGGTGAGCCACCGGGCTCATTCCTTATAATGCAGATGTCATTATTTCGAAATTGCGAGAGCAATTGGTTCCTGACTCTGAAGTCCAACCAGCAACACCACCCCACATCCTATCTCCAACAGTTCCACTTACAATCCGCAGCCTCAAGCGGCAAGTAGAAGAATGTTAAGAATCCTACCAGGTGCGGGGGTGCGACAGGTAACGATTCTTAATTCAAGGTGAGGTAATAGTTTTTAGGCCATTGCCTATGCAATATCGATAGTCAACTCCTTTGACCTCTATCTTATTGCGCCTATTCCTCTATTCTTCTTATGTTCTTGCTTAGGACTTATTCGTTCTATGTGGAACAAGAAATAGTTTTCTCATGTGAGAGGAAAGACAATTCTTGGGTTTCTTAAGATAAATCTTAAAGAGCATAAAGGTAGGTTTTATTGGTAAAATATAAAGATAGGAAATAAACAAGAAGAAAGTATGAAGAACTCATACTCGGGACCCTAGTGACTTTTTATATAGTTGCTCTTCACCTGGCGTGACTCATACCTCGCATCATGTGAACCTTGTAACTTATAACTATAAGTCATGTGAAATCCCTCAGCTGACTCCTATGAGTCACTGTGCAATGTACCTAAAACCAATCAAAATATAATAACTAAGTCAGGTGTGCAACTCGCGTTACCAGAGTGAAACCCATGACTCATATATTGAGTCTTGTGTGAAAATCATAACTTCATGTGACTCACAACTGTGAGTCATGAATAGGTAAACATAATAACCTATGGCACACTAGTATGTGTTATGTAAAATCCTTAACATAGCTATAGCTCAGAATCCCAAGCTATGTGAAATCTACCTTGCTTAGTCACCATTTGTGATATTAGCTTCCCTCTCTCTCAGCCCGAGTCCCTTTGGGCTTCACTCATTCCTCCATCCTCTGTAATGGTCCATCTAGTTCTTTTCCCGTAGTAGTAACTACGATTAATCCTGCAGACTGCTTGTGCAGTTCTATCTGAATATCTCCTAGCCTCTTCCGCCTGGCTCTCTAACTCTCTTTTCACCGCACTCCTCGCTCCTCTCTCTTTCGCCAGCTCTCTCCTGAGCTGGCTTATCCTCAACTTGGTTCCTCTCTTCATTGCCTCTGGCAACGCTTGTATTAGCTGAACATCTTTTTCTAGCTCCACTATCACCCCCTGTTGATCCTCTGCCTGAGGCAATCTCGGCGTAGCTTCTTCTATCTCTTCCTGCCAAGATATCTTCTTGGCTTTCTTCACCTTGGGCCATCTGGGTTTTTGGGCCCCCCTCCTCCTTGACTCCATCCTTGGAATCAGTTTGATGTACTATACCAGAGCTACTAGTTCTGGTGTCAGAGATCTCCTTGATGATCCCAGAGGTGAAGTCTTGAATGGCTATCAGTTTGTTTCTTGAGGCCAATATCCTGAGCCTTCCTTCTCGCTTTTGTGCACTTGGTACTCGTTGTTGTAGCAACCTGTCCATGACAGGTTCGCATATTTCCTTTCGGGTATTGGGGTTCTTGATAGGGGTAAATCTACCAGATTTACCCAGTCTTCATCCATGGGTTCTTCCTTGGCTGGTGTTGGGGTTTGATATCCTGGGCTTGTTGGCGTAATGTGTCTGAACGCATCGTGCTCTGGAGTGCTTTGTAGGACCAAGGGTATCAGCAATTGTTGGTAGTTCACCTTGAGATATTCTCAAGGGTAGGAGTCTGTTCTATATAGCGTGAGTGTTATACATCCTAATTCGCCTATGTCCTCGACACTGGGTTGTTGGTTTATTTGGGTATCATTGGTGGAATTGGTGGACTGCATTTTGTGCGTGTTCGAAGTTCTCAGCTAGGTACCCGGTCTTATCGTGTTCTGGTAAGTATCTGGTTCACTTCGCTCTGTACTGTAGGCGACCATAGTGTAATCGAGAGTCAACTATTCTTTCAAGTTCGTATTCTGGTTCACCATCTATTTCGATAGGTGGTGGTGGTAGTTTTTCTTATGAAGGTAGAGGATTGTCTTGATAGGATTTGAGAAGGCTAATGTGGAAGGTGTTGTGTATTTTCATCATAGGTGGGAGGTCGAGCTTATAAGCTTGGCTTCCTATCTTTGCCAGGATCTTGAATAGTCCTATTTTCTTGTAATCTAATTTTGTCCTTGGTCGTGTGGTCTTGATGTTGAGTGGTAGCAACCAGATCCTATCTCCTGATTTCAAGTTTGGATCAGGTTTTCGGTATCGATTGTATTCTTCTTTATGTCTTAGTTGTACTGTAACCA